GCATCGGCGTAAATAGTTCGTTTGGTGTTTGTACTTCACGCTGTCTAGAATACGGGTACTGCGACAACCACCGTTGTTGACGTTGTTGCCGGTGCGTAAGCAGAGTAGATAGAGTGTCGTTCTGTTGCTGAATAGAACCCGTAACTAGTTGTTCATGCATAGCCAGATTGGAACCGTCTATATACACCGGCGTTTGTTGTTCGTTTGTCAATTGCGAAATAGAATATGTTGGCAGACCACCAAAGGTAAACACATCAGTAGGTAATTGTGAAAGACTGAGCGATGATTGGTCTTGTCGAAACTGTGGTCCTGCCTGCAATTCGTTTTGCGAGTTAGTCAGATAAAAGTCTTGATATAATAAATACTGATTTGAGCCATCAAGCTGCATTGGTTGATAAGTCGTGGATGCGGCAGGGTTAAGCAACGTGTGGCGGTGTTGTTGCTGATGCTGCTGTTGTTGCACTGATTCCTCTTGTTGTTGATAGTTCCATAGCTGACTCTGCCAGGTTTGAAAAGGTTGTTGCGACATTGTAGGTTAGGTTAACTACAAGAGACTATTACTATTACATCAAGTCGTACATACCTATGTACAATACATGAGCCAATAATTGGTCACGATATACTCTTAAGGTTATACAAACGTTAACTCACGACAGAATTGATGTTCAATAAAACTTTTGTAGGACTATAAGTAAAGCGATAGTGCGCATTTAACAAATGTGTGCATTATAGAGAGCGCAGTATAGAACTGGGGTCGGGCATTTGGAGAAAATTCAACGGTGTGAGATTTACACTATTAAATTCAGGGGTGTTTTGTTGAAGTAATTATCCTCCCAGAAATTTATTCCTGTACGTTCGATAATAAGACAAAAACAATTTCAGTTCATTCCCGAACATGATTGCATTCTATTCAGCTATTTATTACTCTCTAACCCTAAAAATTAACCACTAATTAGCTTTATTTTTCCGTTACCAAAGTATGTAATCGACCGCTGCTCACGTAAACGTGTCTCGGAATACTGTAATTGACAATGATTTTGTTTAGCTTATTATTAGTCAAAAAGGAGTATATAGCAAGTGCACAGATTGTTTATGTAATACGAAAGTAAAAAACTTTGTGATTGTTTTATTATTTCCATACACGATAAATTTACCGACAACCATTTAATGTTATATCCGTGGGAGGCAATCTTGAGGTTTAGCTTTCGTTATTTGCGTTTGCTCTTCTTTGTTTTGTTTTGTTTTTTTTTTGTTTTTTTTTTATATATTACAAAGACTAATGCTGGGATTCTCATCACTAAGATTATTCTTGTTTTATTAAATAATTAAGACACTAGTCACACAAATAAAGATTTCTTTGTTAAAAGACATTTGATAAGCCCCGATTAACAATTTATTTCAGGGGCTACGATCAGGAGCAATTGTTTAATTATAATGATGTCTTTCGATAATCTATTTGTATGCTCAACGCTTCGCTACCGGCTGTCTTCAATGCAATATCGCGAGTCTTGCTGTATGTATGTACAGTACACTACTTCCATTGACGCCAATTAATAACTTAGAAAATATTGTGTTGAAGCAGCTTAACAGCCGCAGCAAATTAATCAGACTCGTAATTTACCGACTGCTTGCATTATTGGCATCACTATATATCTTATCTGTAACTTTTGTCGTCATCGTTAATTTCTAATGATGCATGATTTGAAAATGCTTTTTGTTTATTCGCAATATAGTTTACAAGTTACTAGGACAAACGTTTATATTACTTAAGGCTGTAATATTTTGTAATAGAAAAACTTTCAGTTAAAGCTTTGATAAATGTTATTATACAATAAAGAAGGGGATAAAGAAATAGATATTCAAGAGGTTTTTAAATCTAATTATACATTCAATTTGTTCCAGCAGTATTAGACTTTTTTTTGACAAAAGGCTTTGGTTTGTTGGAATATACTTACTTTGACAAAGTCAAGGTCAGTAAGAGTTGCTGACGGAATTTCTGTCTCTTTTCTTTGTTATCACTATCGATAGTCTTGGAATTTTTAAACTGCTCGTTTGTATTGGTAAATTTGTTCAATTGGCTGTATAGCAATGCAGACGATGAAGAGGAAGCAAGTTGAGGGAGGGTGTGTATTTGATGTGCATTTAAAGTTATGTAACTCTGTACATAATTTGTCGTCGCGTACATTCAATCCCTTACACTAGTCTGGTTTTTGATTTATTCGTATAGGCATTCTTTGCTAGGCTGTGACAAATGATTACAATATATCGAAGGCATACATTTTGTAGCAGGCCGCTTCCCGAACCGTATTTCACGGTGAACATAGTCAGCATTGCGTAGTTGACTTTATGCTTCAATAGCTCGTGAGCAGATACGAGCGTATAACATTAGTGTCGGCTTTTTTACATTTGAACGCGTTTACCTATAGCATCTGTAATATACCAAGAATTTTGTTACAAGTATTGCCCAGTCTAGACTTTAAATACCTACAGTTAATTGAGACTAGTCACTATCCCAGAAATTTCTAGTATGTCATCCGAAGCTAACTATAACGCAGTCGTTGCAAGCCAAGCAGAATTATTTTTCGGAACGTAAACTTCGATGATGTAAACACGAATTCGCTTTAAGTAACATTGTTGCTGTTTTATTTTCTATTTTATCTTTAAGTGCGTGAACTATTGCTTTTGTATTTAGTCTTTACATTAATTTTGGGTGGGATTTAGATGGTTGTTTTTGAAGCGATTGTATATATATTGGGAAGGTTTCCATACGTATGATATACTATACAGCTGTATAACATGTATGTGAATTTTCACTGTATCCCAAATTCTAATGCTATAAAGATAATCGCAGAGATAAATGTGATGTGTTAATTGGTTTGGTTTTACGTCTATAGCGTTAATTCGGTTGTTTATTAGGAGTGTGATGTATAAATTTATCCGCTTTATGTCACGAAATCGTAATGTTATAGTGCGTAAAGATGTATGTGATGAATTGCTTTTACGTCTATAGGTTAATTCTATAACGTGCGATTGTCAATCGGGAGGTATAAATTTCTTCGTTTCATGTCCCAAAGTCATAATGTGTAAAGATGTATTAATTGATTAGTGCGTTAATTATATAATGCGTAATTTGACTTTTAAAGAACGGGAGATATACGTACGTTATCTATTGTAATTGCCATGTGTAATTATGTCTATAATTGTTTTGCATCTTCAATCAAGTGGCGAGTTGTGTTAAATCTTATTATAGTGCTGTTTGGTTACATTACTGTTTACTGCTAAACAGGCAGGGATTATTATATATTGGACGAGAAATTAATTGGTATTGTATATTTATAGGTTATCTAAATCTGTTAATGAGAATAGCTCTATCGCTATATAATTATTTGCTTGTGTAATCTATATAATATAATTGGTTGGCCCACACGTGGTGAAGTAAAAATTGTACAACATTTGATTGTTTCTTAAGACTGTTTGTTGTACTTCAGTTCTGGACCGAGAAAACTGGACTGAGTGACTGGGTTTTGAACTGAGACAAGTCTCGAACACACCACGGGATGGTTTTCTTGACATAATTGATCAAGCGAAATGAATTGGACAAATAAGGGAACAGTTGCTAAAAGTCGACAACGGCGGTATCTCCCTCCGAAAAACATCCCCTCGCTCCGGGTCTAGACGTTCTCTTAAAAGACATAACCAGCCAAACGTATCATATTAGGAGAAGATAAAATATTACTGTAGCTGCTTCCAAGCATTTATATTTCTGAATGAAGCGGTATCGACAGAAAAGGGCGGTACCTCCCTATGAAAAACATCCCCTCGCCGAGCGCGTGCTCCGGGTCTATAGACGTTCTCTTAAAAGACATAACCAGCCAAGCGTATCATATTAGTATTAGGAGAAGATAAAATATTACTGTAGCTGCTTCCAATTCATATTTCTGAATGAAGCGGTATCGACAGAAAGGCCTTTCTGTTTATTGCGGTTTCCAAAATTCTTGACACAAATTTGGTCACAGCGAAAATAGCGACTATACGTGAAAAACATGCGAAGGCGGAAACACTTTAAAAGCTTAACTTGGAAAGACAAATACAAGCTGGGCTTAGAAGTTACCAATGGACTAAAACATTTACATGACCTTACCTTGATTATTATTCACAAGGATTTGGTATTTATTGCATCTTGACGACGATTACTGAGTCTCTCCGAAACAACAATAGCATAACATAGTTACTCTACTTAGCAGAAGTCGAGAAATAGAGGCCACACCAGCGCAGCGATGGACAAGACGATTACAACGATTACGAACAATTATGATGCGGTTATGCTGCAGTTATGCTGCGATTATGAAACAAACATATTCAACACTGTTCACTAAAAAAAACGCTCAGCAAAGATCTATACTGGAGAATAGTGTACATGCATCGTGAACAAAGTGAGATCACATATTTCTTACTCTGCAACATCAGGGGTGAGGGTGTATCAATGTTCCTTCTATGGCAGATTTAGAAGCAGCCACTAATCAATCACGAAAACTAAAACGACCTAATAAAGCAGATAACCCAACCTCACTTATTTCAGAAAATCAACATCACCGATTCCTATCTACAATAGAAAGCGATCGAGAACAGGAAAAAATAATGCAAGACAAAAGGCCTAAGGAATTGTAACACCAATACAATCATTGGTTTATCTTTTCTATCAATCTACTGTTATTCATCACAATCAACTATTGACATCAATATGCAAATACAATAAACAAATGTACATATCATACCTCAACCAAATTCTTTGTCATGAAAGAAAGAGGGGGCAAAGCTCCTCATAAATTCTTATCTAGTTCATATCTTGTAATGTGGTTAAAATCGTTCAAACCCGCCCTTATTACACTAAGTGGCCTTGACCAAATTCAAACTATTGCATTTTAATATGTAAAGCTTTGCCACACAGGCGAGTGTACATAATACAGAGGGTAAGCATAAACCTTTTTGTTTAAGATAAATTAATCAAGAAACCTTTTTCTCTGTTGTTCATACTTCTTCACAAATGATTTAACTTTGGGTTTTTCCAGCTTTTCATCAGATGTTGCAGATTCTTCAGTTGTTTCAGTTGCTTCAGTTTTTTTGACAACCTTTTCAATAGCTCATGATGTCAATGCTTCAACAACAGTGGTCATTTCAGTCTTGACTTCTACTTTCTTTTCGGTATCTTCAGCAGCTCTCTTGCTTGGTCCCCACTTCCACATACTTGTAAATTTGTGGCTAAGCCCACCACAACCAGTGGTGGTGGTGTTTTGCCTTTTGCTTTGTTGTCAGCCTATGTGGAGTCTTCTTTGCCTTCCACTTTCTTTCCTTCTTTTCCTAAACTCCTCCATAAATTCCTCCATAGATTCCTCCTTAGTCTCCACCTTAATCACCATCCCAGACCCCCTTTTGTTCTTGGTGGTAGAATGTGAGTATTTGATTTATACATATGTATTCTTTACCCATAATAAGTCATGACATAATTTACTTGGTCACATAAAGCAATCTTAATCTTGGGAGAAGAGATACTGTGTAGGGAATACAATCTGCAATGATATCTTTAATTGCATTAGTATCATTAGATGACCAGTTATTTGGATCATTTCCAAGTTCCAGTTCAGGCACTTACATCTGAATATCATCTTCATCTATGCTTATCTCATCCCTCTTGAGAAGAGTAATTAAAGTCTCCTTTGGTAAGGTTGCAAGATCGTTTGATTCAAAGATAATATTTGGGTGGAAAACCACATAGTAGGCCAGAAATTTGTTTAAAGAAGTTGTGGATGCAGCATACTTGTGAACTGTGAGAATATTCTGTTAAATCCATTCATTTTGCTTGCTCCATCTGAAAGGCTAATCAACCTATATTCATGCATGAATCGTAGGACATTCGCCGCCCAGTGTAAATATATCTACGATGAATCGTTAAGATTACAGTATTACCAGCATTGACACGTTGACAATTCTATAAAATTTACCTGAGCAGTATTTTGAAAACATCAGTTTTCACATCTTCAAATGCTATATTATTGTCTTTTGAGTCTCTTCAAGCGTCTCTTTATTCTTGGTCAGGCTATTCCCAATGAATTTGCTTCTTGTACATAATATTACTGCATGAGCGAAAAAAACTTTGCTATTTGGCTCCTTTCCAACATAGATTGAAATATCGGTATATTTGCCACTTTCTCATAATCAGCTGAGAGAACTCGAAGACAAATCAATAAAATCAACCTGGGTGGACAATCCTGTGTAACGATCTGTGATACTAAAATAGTTATCATCGCTTGCCTTAGATTTTTAGTAGTCTTTTTTCTGTAGCTCTTCGATCTCCTGTAATATTTTAACTCATATATCTTATTAAGCAACAATACGCAGTTGTCTGACAAAACTATTGATGGAAATATCAACGCAATCTTGAATGTAATGTTACAGAGAATGCAACAGTCGGAGTATAGTCATAGACGGAGGGTACTGTATTGGGTTAAATAGTTAGTTGACAAGAATCAACGGGTAGTGGCACATATTGAATACGTACTGTAAGTTTGTTATCATAGATTGGTTAATGTACCAACTACTTCCACTATGTCATTAGGAGAGAATGTGGCTGGGTTTTAGAAATGTAAACTAGAAATGTAAACTTCCACTCGGACGACGTGAATAGCTTCATCGGCTTTAGGAATATTCCGTTCGCTCTGAAATCTTTTATGGAATCCTTGAATTGGATTTGATTACAGGGTAAAATTTTCTTTCAAAGTAGGTCAGAATTTATTTGGGGCTTCGCACATTATTAGTGTTAGAATCTGTTGACAAGCATTGAGCCAATAATGTTCGTACAAAGCTATATTTATTGACTAGTATAGTATATGCGGGGGGTAATTTCAGGTTTGTTGATGCTAAGCTGGCAATTTTTCGAACATAATTGCCTTTTCTGAGGGGTTTTCTGCTTAATGAATTTTAGCAAATCTTGATCGCTTCTACTGTAGATACAGAAATCAGTGTTGAGCTTTCAGAAATAGAAGGGGTTGGGTTACCCGTGTCATTAGTTCGGCTTAGTTTGGAGAAGGTATGGTAGTTTTGGGATTGTCGAAGAGCGATTTGTGCATGCATGGTTATTTTTGGTACGCAGACATCGAATGGAATCTAATTCTGTTCGAAGTGTACGGCAGTTGAGTCGAGGTGGATGAACATGGGTTTTTTTTTGTCATCAAAAAGGAGATATAGTGGTATGAAGAAATTTTTTTTTTTAGTTTTTTCAAGTGTTACCTTATTTATAAAATGTTGAAAGTGAGAACATTTTCCTGTATGGTGTGGGACACCTAAAGCCCGAAATAAAATACCCAACTTTCAAAACCCTAAGGCTTTATATTGGAGGGTTTAGACAAAAACTAATCCGTAAGAATGATAGAGCAGACGAAGTAGAATAAAAGTTTTGAGTTTTAGGCATTTGAAAAGCAACAGTTTTCTTAAGTTTTTCTTAAGTTTCTTAAGAAAAAAATGAA